GAGATTGAGGAAGACTATAGAAAGTGGAGAGATCTCCCATGCTCATGGATTGGTAGAATCAACATAGTAAAAATGTCTATACTCCCAAAAGTAATCTACATGTTTAATGCAATTCCCATCAAAATTCCAATGACATTCATTAAAGAGATTGAAAAATCTACTGTTAAATTTATATGGAAACACAAGAGGCCACGAATAGCCAAGGCAATACTCAGTCAAAAGAACAATGCAGGAGGTATCACAATACCTGACTTCAAACTATATTACAAAGCAATAATAAAAACAGCATGGTACTGGCACAAAAACAGACATGAAGACCAGTGGAACAGAATAGAGGATCCAGATATGAAGCCACACAACTATAAGCAACTTATCTTTGACAAAGGAGCTAAAAATATACGATGGAGAAATAGCAGCCTCTTCAACAAAAACTGCTGGGAAAACTGGTTAGCAGTCTGCAAAAAACTGAAACTAGATCCATGTATATCACCCTATACCAAGATTAACTCAAAATGGATCAAGGATCTTAATATCAGACCCAAACTCTTAAGTTGATACAAGAAAGAGTAGGAAATACTCTGGAGTTAGTAGGTATAGGTAAGAACTTTCTCAATGAAACCCCAGCAGCACAGCAACTAAGAGATAGCATAGATAAATGGGACCTCATAAAACTAAAAAGCTTCTGTTCATCAAAAGAAATGGTCTCTAAACTGAAGAGAACACCCACAGAGTGGGAGAAAATATTTGCCAACTATACATCAGACAAAGGACTGATAACCAGAATATACAGGGAACTTAAAAAACTAAATTCTCCCAAAACTAATGAACCAATAAAGAAATGGGCAAGTGAACTAAACAGAACTTTCTCAAAAGAAGAAATTCAAATGGCCAGAAAACACATGAAAAAATGCTCACCATCTCTAGCAATAAAGGAAATGCAAATTAAAACCACACTAAGATTCCACCTCACCCCTGTTAGAATAGCCATCATCAGCAACACCACCAACAACAGGTGTTGGCGAGGATGCGGGGAAAAAGGAACCCTCTTACACTGTTGGTGGGAATGTAGACTAGTACAACCACTCTGGAAAAAAATTTGGAGGCTACTTAAAAAGCTGGACATCGATCTACCATTTGATCCAGCAATACCACTCTTGGGGATATACCCAAAAGACTGTTACTCCAGAGGCACCTGCACATCCATGTTTATTGCGGCACTATTCACAATAGCCAAGTTATGGAAACAGCCAAGATGCCCCACACTGACGAATGGATTAAGAAAATGTGGTATCTATACACAATGGAATTTTATGCAGCCATGAAGAAGAACGAAATGTTATCATTCGCTGGTAAATGGATGGAATTGGAGAACATCATTCTGAGTGAGGTTAGCCTGGCTCAAAAGACCAAAAATCGTATGTTCTCCCTCATATGTGGACATTAGATCAAGGGCAAACACAACAAGGGGATTGGACTATGAGCACATGATAAAAGCGAGAGCACACAAGGGAGGGGTGAGGATAGGTAAGACACCTAAAAAACTAGCTAGCATTTGTTGCCCTTAATGCAGAGAAACTAAAGCAGATACCTTAAAGCAACTGAGGCCAATAGGAAAAGGAGACCAGGAACTAGAGAAAAGGTTAGATTAAAAAGAATTAACCTAAAAGGTAACACCCACGCACAAGAAATCAATGTGAGTCAATGCCCTGTATAGCTATCCTTATCTCAACCAGCAAAACCCCTTGTTCCTTCCTATTATTGCTTATACTCTCTCTACAACAAAATTAGAGATAAGGGCAAAATAGTTTCTGCTGGGTATTGAGGGGGGGAGCGGGAGGGGTGGAGTGGGTGGTAAGGGAGGGGGTGGGGGCAGGGGGGAGAAATAAACCAAGCCTTGTATGCACATATGAATAATAAAAGAAAAATGAAAAAAAAAAAAAAAAAGAAAACAATAGTCAAGGAGATTAGTTCCATTATCTAACATATCTAGAATAAAATTAAGTCTCCAAGTGGTAGTAACACAGAAATTAGTTGACAAAATTGAAAATCCTTCATGAACTTCATGGCCTTATATCAACTCATGAGATTGGAAGTAAATCCAGACATGAACCCTATGCAGTCAAATATTAGCCACATTTTCTCAGATTTTGGTAACTGAAACCACAGTAAGTGGTTGGAATCAATACCTCTTTGTTTTTTTTTTTTTTTTTTTACTTATTGGGATTTGTTTTAATTTTATCTCCTCTTGTTTGAACAAATATCATGAATAATTTGAGTTAATTTCTGGCTCCATTAGTAATTCCAATCTAGACAGTTCATTAGTTAATTAAGACATAACATTATTCCATTTGTCAAGATTAAATTTGTGAGGAAAAAGTCATAGAAGTATCCTCTCCTTCACCCTTTGCACCAATGTAACTATTACTTCATGTGTGGCAGGGATTCTACAGTGTTAGGCATCCTTTTGGGATGGGGAAATGGCTCTGTGTGCCCTTCAAGGGTTTCACTCAACTGACAAACAAGATGGACATAAATCAGAATTTGAAGAGGACTTTTTATTTACATGACAGAGATTGGTTTCTGTTGGGTGTGTCTGACTGCTTAGAAAGGATACCATATTCTTTTTTGATAATAAACACTGTGAGAACAGTTTCCAATTTTTTTTTCTTGGAATCATTTCCCCTAAAGTAAGGTAGGGGAGGGAAGAGAGGAGGCTTAGATGCATGTTCCAGACCCTTCCTGATTTCAAACAAAGTAATGTGAAAACAACAGTACAAAATGAATTTGTCACTTTAGAAATTAGTTGAACACCTGGAGGGGAAAATCTTATTAAATGAAGAGATCATGATGATGCAAAGGGAGATCCAAGTCTAGATGTGGTAGGATCTGCAAGTTAAGCCTCGAAATACATTCTCCTTTTTTGTTCTTAAAAAAAAAAAGTAACGGATCCTTAATTTCCCCTTCTGTTTTAGCTGATCATAGACCATCCAACCAGTGTCCTTATTTCCCAGCTACCCTTGACCTAGCCCTGAGTCATATGACTAAATTCTGACCAATGAGGTGTGAGCAAGTGATGTGTATCCATTATTATGATAAAATAATAATAAAACTTCTCTCCATTCTCTTTTCTGCTCCTGGGAAGGGCAGCCATCTTTACCTCTAAGATGGAAGTCAGGAGTTGAGGATTTCAGAATCACTTGCTCTTTTTATACTATTATGTGAGTGAAAAAATAATTGTAAAAATGACAATGTGGTTGAGTCCCTGGATTTTTGAGGCTTTTAAAAATTATTTACTTATCTATTGGGAGTACTGGGGTTGAACTTAAATACTCTGCCACTTGAGCCACTCCACTAGCCCGTTTTTTTTTTTTTTTTTAATAAAAGTTCAGACTGTACCCAAAGTAACTGTAACAATGGTCATCAAAGAGAGTTTTGACATTAGTTTCATTAGAAAGGCTTCCTTTACAGAATTTAATCTTAAATGTAATTGACTTTAATCTCATGTTTACCTTGAAATAACATGGTATAGATATATCACAGCCTATCCACAGCTGGATAGGATAAATTGACATATTCCAATCATTATTGCTTTTATTATTTGAGATGACACAGAAGAGTAGGATTAAAGACATAAATACATCTATGCAAACAAACATGGGCAAAACATTAAGAAGCAGAGTTAGGATTACAACATCCATGCCTCACAGTTAGTGCATAATGAAGGGAAAATATGAAATAAAGAACAATTTGGGCAAAGTGGCAGTTTGGGGGAAATTCTCTAATTATTTATCATTTTGTACTTTTGCTATACCTCTTCTATAAGCAGCTTTGGACGTCCTGCTGCTTTACTTGCTGTATTGCTTCCCTGGCTTCCTACGGTGGTCTCTTATTCAAGGGCTTCAATGCTTCTAAACAAGTCTGTCCTTAGATTTCCTGTCACCACCTCAAACTGAATATATACAACTTGAACACCCCTTCTTTGCATATAGGTCATTTGCTCTATCTGTTGTCTTCTTGTCCATGGTACTTTATTCTTTTCATCTCGCTAAGATTTTCTTTGTGTTTTCCTTCATTTCTGTAACCAATGCCAATATATGTTTTTTTTCTTCTTTCAAACTCATTTTTAGATTCAACCATTGCTCTCTATTCTCATGTCCATTTGCTTAGTCCAAACCCAAAGCATGCCATATCCTGATTAGAACCCACAGTTTTCTATTTGGTCTAACTAATTTGGTCACAAAATTTTTTGAATTATTTTCTCTCGTGTTCAGTTCAAATATATTGCTTTGATCATTCACTGTCTTCCTCAAGAACACATTTAATTGTTAGCTCCCATTTGCCTATTGTCATTAGTCTTCATTTGTCTTCCTTGTCAGACTTCCATAATATGATCCTAACGAAATGTGACCTAGGATAGTAGTTAATCGCATGGGCTTTGGTGTGCCACAGACCTGACTTCAAATTCTAGCTCTGCTACTTCTATGTACAGGTCATGGCTATTCTAAGTCTGTATTTATTGCCTTTAAAGTGATACTGATGTCACTCAATATGTTTTTCTGAGACACATAAAGTGGAGTAATGGCTGAAAGTTGCACAGAATGGTACATAGCATACAGCAAGCACTCAGTACACTTGCTTACAGTTATTTTCAACCAATGTTCCTGTTTCTGTTGGCTGTATTAGATTCTTCACTCTTCTGGGCAGCATCCTCCCTGTTCTTTCCTTGGCACTTATAGAACAACTTAATTTCAAGTTAAGTCATATTTCCTTTACAGTCTTCTCTGAATTCCCATTGGTCTCTCTAATTGCTTGATATGTTTTCATTTATTGTCTTTAGCTACATATGAACTGAATTTCTTTTTGGCATTCTTTTTTACCCTCTCCAGCATCTGGCTAGTTTTAGTTACATATCATTTACTCAGCATCTATTAAAACAGATGGTTTTGCAAAGATCATAAAAGATAAACTTTCCAATTTTCTATATTGCAAAAATATTTAGAACATATGTTCTCAGGTAACTTTGAACTCTTTGTTGTTGCAATAGTAGGTATTGAACTCAGGATTTCCTGTATGTGAGGCACACTATCACTTGAGTCATATGCCCATCCAGTTCCTTTGCTTTTAGTTTGTTTCTCAGATAGGGTCCTGCACTTTTGCACAGGTCTCTCTCTACTTCCTAAGAGCTGGGATTTACAGGTGTGTGCTACCATGCCTGCCTAGGCTTGATGTTTTTATGGGCTTACTTAGCCTCTTTCTTATACTATTTTTCCTCATGATTGATCAGGTGAATTGATCAGGTGATGGTAAAACAGCTAAATCAAGAAAGGAGATTGGAGCTGAGTGTTGAAGAGATGAGGGCAAAAAGGAGAAGAACAGATGTGAAACAAAGAGAAAGAACTGTGAGTAAGAGAAAGAACTGTGAGTAAGGGAAAGGACACTAAGACTTTCTCAGCAAATACCAGGAGTTATGTTGGACGTTAATATCAATCTCAAGTTCCAATAATAAGCCTGAAATGCAAGTGCTATTATTATATTAACAAACTCTTTATAAATGAAATATGTCAAACATATGAAGGGTATATTAAATATAAGAGTTTACATTATGAATTGTCCTAGGCACACAGTGATCCCAGGAACCTTAGAAAATCCTTTTTTTGGGGGGAGGGGGTGTTAAACTCAAAGCCTCATACTTGCTATGCTAGGCAAGGTGCTCTACCACTCCACCAGTCCTGGGAATCTTTTGATGCCAAAGCTCTCTGGGACATACAGAACACTGCATACCTATGACAAGTTGAGGCAATTTCTGGGCCCCCCGGCCATAAGATATGAATCTTATGGGTGTTATTCATTGAATTATGTCCCCCTAAATTCATATGTTGAAGCCCTACCTCCACGTGACTATTTGTAGTAAGAAGTTTAATAAGTTCACAAGGGTGGGTCACCAATCCAATAAGAGATATCAGAGAGCTTGTGTTTACTCTCTTTGCTATGTGTGGACACATTGAGAAGGGAATCACTCACCAGACAGGAAAAGAGCCTTCATCAGGAAATAAATATAACTGGAACACTGGTTTTGGACTTATAGTCTCCAGAACTATGAGTGAGTAAGTGTCTGTGTTTTGAGCCATTCAGTGTCTGTGCTGAGTGAGACATGGCATCATTTTTGAGTCCCCAGCTTTCATAGTCCCTGAGTTTTATTTTTCATAAAAATAAATCTGCCAAAAACCTCGTCTCAGATTTGCCACAATTTACTTCTCCTACATCTGATTAGTTAAGATAAAAAGTGGCTTTTGGTCCTTGTCTTATTTCTTTGGGGTCTTATTTTCTAAATTTTGGCCTAGAAGTTTCTCAGGATCTTGTCTTTTTGATGCTTTTGAAAAGAAACTACTGCTATTATTATTTCAAATAGTTTGTTCAGGTCTTTTGCTCATTTTCAGTAGGATCTGGGTTTATATTACGTGGATTTTTATTTTTAGAAAGAAGTTTGCCATTACATTTTGCAGATATAAGAAACTGAAACCCAAAGAATGATGTCTGGTAGAATAAGAATGTGAATCCAATTTGGTCTTGTTTTAGTTTTTTTTTTTTTTTTACTCATTTTGCTTTGCTATAAAGATTAAATTTTACTAGAAGACTAGTCTTCTAGTAAAAATGGTAGGAATCAGTTTCTTAATTTGTCTTTTTAGTTACCTGCTAGTCCCTTATTTTTAGCCTTAGTTCACAACATTCCCTCCTCTAGCAACATTCGTTGGTAAAGAGATGAAAGAAAGAAGATTAATGAAGACTGCTGGTATGGTTGACTTCATACAGCATGCATAAAGGAAACTAGATTTTATTACCATGCACCCATGTGGCAAAATTATCCCTGGAATTTATCTCCCAAGGAGCACTTAACCAATGTGATCTCGTTAATCCTCACAACATGATCTTGTTGTGTCTATTTTATAATAGTTGCAATTTGCCAGTAGGAAGTAAATAACTTGACTAGAATCTGTATTTTTAAAATTCTACTTTTTGAATTCTTTGACTATTATACATGTATCTGGGCTGCCTTTTCATATTTAAAATATTGTGATTTAGTCATATATTAGTTTTCTAGGGCTGTTATAATAAAAGATCATAGACTGGGTAGATTAAACAACAAAAATTTATTTTCTCAGAGTTCTGGAGGCTATAAATCCAAGAAGATCAAGAGGGTCGCAACTTGGTTTCTCTTGAAGTCCCTCTCCATGATGTACAGATGGCCACCTTCTCAACCGCATCCTTAGGTAATGTTCCCTCTGTCTAAGTGATCTATGCCCTAATCTCTTCTTTGTCTAATGACCTGTCATATTATTTTGGAACCATGCTAATGACTCTATTTTAACTTATTTACCCCTTTTGAGGTCAAATTCTGAGATACTTGGCATTCAATATATGAATTTTAAGGGAACAAAATTCAACCCATAACATTTACCATGACATCAAAAGTAAGATTATGTCAAAGTCTCTATGAACACTTTATGAAGATGTAAAAGGTTGGTACTAAGAAAAAGTTTTAAAGGGATAGTGTTAGACTAGTGTTTCAAGAGCTGGAACGGAAATTTATCTTTGCCTAGAAATATAGAAATGGAGCAATTGCTCCCAAAATTAGGCTGATACCACAATATTATCTTTTATTTATTTATTTATTTATTTATTTATTATTCATATGTGCATACAAGGCTTGGGTCATTTCTCCCCCCTGCCCCCGCCTTAACACCCACTTCATCCCCTCCCTCTCCTCCCTACCCCCTCAATCCCCAGCAGAAACTATTTTGCCCTTATCTCTAATTTTGTTGAAGAGAGAGTATAAGCCATAATAGGAAGGAACAAGGGTTTTTGCTGGTTGAGATAAGGATAGCTATACAGGGACTTGACTCACATTAATTTCCTGTGCGTGTGTGTTACCTTCTAGGTTAATTCTTTTTGATCTCACCTTTTCTCTAGTTCCCGGTCCCCTTTTCCTATTGGCCTCAGTTGCTTTTAAGGTATCTGCTTTAGTTTCTCTGCATTAAGGGCAACAAATGCTAACTAATTTTTTAGGTGTTTTACCTATCCTCACCCCTCCCTTGTGTGCTCTTGCTTTTATCATGTGCTCAAAGTCCAATCCCCTTGTTGTGTTTGCCCTTGATCTAATGTCCACATATGAGGGAGAACATATGATTTTTGGTCTTTTGGGCCAGGCTAACCTCACTCAGAATGATGTTCTCCAATTCCATCTGTTTACCTGCAGATGATGATATGTCGTGGGGTAGTTCTATTTTGATCTGGTCTGTTTGTTGTTCTGGAGGCCTCTTGCATCTGTATGGGAATATCTTTCTCTAGATTTGGAAAATCTTCTGTTATTATTTTGTTAAATATATTATGCATTCCCTTCCCTTGCACCTCTTCTCCTTCTTCAATACCCATGATTCTCAAGTTTGGTCTTTTGATGGAGTCAGTAAGTTCTTGCATTTTCTTTTCACAGGTCTTGAGTTATTTAATTAATAGTTCTTTGGTTTTTCCTTTAATTACCATTTCATCTTCAAGTTCTGAGATTCTGTCTTCTGTTTGTTCTATTCTGCTGGATTGGCCTTCTGTTTTGTTTTGCAGTTCTGTTTCATTCTTTTTTCTGAGGTTTTCCATATCCTGGGTGGTTTCCTCTTTAATGTTGTCTATTTTTGTCCTGAGTTAATTTATCTGTTTATTCATTGTGTTCTCTCTTTCACTTTGGTGTTTATACAGTGCTTCTATGGTTTCCTTTATTTCTTCTTTTGCTTTTTCAAATTCTCTATTTTTATTGTCTTGGAATTTCTTGAGTGTCTCCTGTACATTTTGGTTGACCCTATCCAGTACCATCTCTATAAAATTCTCATTGAGTACCTGTAGTATGTCTTCTTTTAAATTATTCTTGTGGGCTTCATTGGGTCCTTTGGCATAGTTTATCTTCATTTTGTTGGAGTCTGGATCTGAGTACCTGTTTTCTTCATTCCCCTCTGGTTCCTGTACTAATTTTTTGCTGTGGGGAAACTGGTTTCCCTGTTTTTTCTGTCTTCCCGTCATTGTCTTTGGTGTTGATACTGTCCCTGTACTGTGTGCAATTAAGTATTTTCTAGCTTGTAATAATAACAATGGTAATATTTAGAATGGAAGGGTGAGCTGAGATGGAAAGCAAGAAGTTAAAGAAATGGGGAAAACAAATACACAGACTGGAAGGAAAAAACAGAACAAGGTATCAGACAAGAAGGTTTCAAAGGTATAAACAGGGAACTTTAGTGTACTAATCGACAGTAAGCTGAACAGACATTAGAGAGACAGAGAGAGGATAGAAAATCAAAAAATAAAAAAAAGATAAAAATAAAAATAAAAAATAAAAGTAAATGAAAGAAAAATCTATACATAAAAATGTATTAAAATAAAATGAAAAAATAGAAAATTAAAAAAACCCAAAAAACCAAAAGACCTCCAGGTTCAAATGCAATGAAGTTTCAGTCTTAATAATTTGGGTGTCCATCTCAGTCTCCAATCCTGGAGATGGTGCCTCAGATGTTGTTCTGTAGTTGTCTCATCAAAGGGGATGCATAAAGTAGAACAAAACTACACACACACGCACAAAAAAAACCCCACCAAGTGTCCCAAGTTCAAATGCAATACAGTTTCAGTAAGTTTTTCAGCTTGCAGGTGTAATTCGGTTGTTCTCTCATCAAAGGTAGGGAGACAAAGAAAAAAAAAGAGTCTGGAGACAATTCTGAGAATGGTATCTGCAGCTGTGGCTTGGCTGTCCACTGCTGTCAGCCTGCTGTTGCTGGAGGCATTATTTATGCAGATCTCTGGGGTGAACTTAGCGCTCACCTGGCCTCCCAGGCTTTGTTTACTCGTAGTTCTCCTGTGCGGGAGCCTCTGCTACAAGCTTTCCCCTTTCCAAGCACACTGGGAAAGGTGACATTGCACCACGTTCTCAGGCCTGTGTGTTTATTTACAGTTCATGTGGGAGGTGGGTCCCCCCCCCCCCCCGTGGAGTTTTCCTCCCACCGCCACTTTACAAGCTTTCCTGCTCACTGGATGCTGCTGCTGCTCCTGCCAGCCGCCATGTTTGTTTACAGTTCACGCACGTGGGAAGTGGGTCTTCCCTCCTCTCCTGTGGAGTTTTCCTCCCTCCTCCACTCTCACAAGCTTTCCTGTTCCTGGTTGCTGGGCACAGGCCCCTGCTCCCACCAGAGGCTCTCTGGCCCACCCGGCTTGTTTATTTACAGTCCTGGGAAGGATTCCCTTCCCCCAATCTTCGGTGCTCAGGGCACCCCACCCTCTTTCCTGCGTGTCTTTATTGCTCTTATTGCTTATTACTCAGTTTCTCTTTTTTCCCCGGGTGGAGGTCAGTCTGTCCAGGGGGCTATGCTGCTCTGGCCCAGGCTTGTCTGTGGGAGTACCACGTACCACAAAGCTCACCTGGTCCGTGTCTTCCCAAGCCGTCTGGGTGCCGGTGACTGGCGGCCCGGGGGCCTTCCTGGTTTCTCCGTTTAATGTGGAGATTCTCTGCGCTGGCTGGAAGTGTGGAGGGGTCAAAGTTATGCCTCTTCTCAGTGATTATGCCTGCAAAGTGTGTCTCCAGCGTCTCTCCAAGATTTCACTATAGGAGGCTCGCTTTCTTCTTCCTCCCTCTAGCTGCCATCTTGGAATCTCCCAGCATTGTCTTTTGACAGCTATAGATAATTCATTTTAGGTGGACAATTGTTCCAATGTGCACACTCACTTTTCAGTAATAAGTAAGTGGTTTACTATGCTTTGAGGCTAAAAAACTAGACACTCTAATATTAGTTTTCATGACTCTATCAAGAAGAATAAGCACCCAATTAAAGATTGACAGAATGTGCCAGAGGTCAGTTTTCCATACTCCTAAAAAGGGGCAATAAAAAAACTTTATCTTGAGCATAAAAATCATACATCCTCCATGTCAAACCTTATGTGCTTAATATTTACACACCAGAAATGATGACTAACATAGTTGGACTTTTCCCTGAACTATTGACAAGAAAGCTCCCCTATAAACCATGCAGAACCAGGAAGCTCACATTGTCTTTTTGCCCCAATTTGAATAAGTTGTTTTGTTGGGAAAACTAGGAAGCTTTAATGGGCCAACATATTAACTTCATAATACTTTTGCAGCAAGGAAATGATTATTCAACTAAGGGAGGAAAACTCTAACAAAGTGTGAGACTTAAATATAAGGGAAAAACCTAAGATAGCATGAAACATAATAGCCAAATATTTTCTACGGTCAGTGTCCAAGAAAGTCATATGCTTTCCAGTATTGGTGGCAGTGATGATCTATGCCTGGACAAGGAAGGGATCCGGGTGAGATGGAGGGTTAAATAGCAGATTACAGAGATTCATTATTGTATTGTCATTTTACTGGAAAATTTTCTCTTTTGCTTCTGTTGTTAGGGCTATGAGATATTTCAGTCTGTGCTGTGATAAGACATTTCAGAGTTCACATAAAGAAACTTCCTATGGTTACCCAAAGAGGCACCCCCCAGGGAAATACGGCTTCATGTCAAGACAAGGTTCTGGGGATAAACTGAAATCATTGCATGTTTGCATACTAGTAGGGGAAAGCAGGCAAACATTTACAAATGGAATCAGAGAAGGTGGCTGGCGAGACCACTAGGGGCTGTTCAGGCCCCAAACAATTTTAAGTACAAGCTGATGGAGTAAGGCTTTAGATTTTATCAGGTACCAATGATGAATAGATACTAAGAGCTAGAAGTGCTCATTGCCTTCCCTCTTCATAATGTAATATTTCAGCCTGCCTTACAATAGTGGTCAGTGATGGGGTTAACTTTAGCATAAAACAGTATAACAGTAAGAAGTTCCTAAGACACTCAGAAATATTTTGATCTTAATGCAATTTTGTGTTCAAACATTGTCATCAAGAATGCAGACTGTGGGATCAAACAACCTGCATTCATTTTCTAGGTCTGGTGCTGTAGATAAGTTAATGGCTCTCCTATTCTGAGGCTCAGTTTCCTCAGCTGTAAAATGGGGATAATATTGTATCTCCTCATTGTTATAGTATAATGTTAGGCAGCTAATTGAGTTTTGCAAAAAAAGTGGATAGAGGAAAAATCTTGGTTAAGAAATAATTTTACCTTAGGATTTCCAGCTTCTGTCTTTTGGGTAGCGGTTTTCTGGTATGTGTAAAATATTATCTGATTTACACAAACTTGACTTAGGCATGTCTCAGAACCTTCCGTGTAGTGATAGAGGTTAT